ATAACTCTCTGATTAAATGTGTACACATAAAACTGTACAACAGAGTTGAAAGGTAGGATTTAAAACCTCGACCTACTTAGTCCCTAAATATGATTTAGTATTATTTTAGAAAAAATGACTTTTTTATTATTACGTAAAAATAGTACGATGTATATTAAAAAAAAATATAAAAAAATTAATATTAATGAATAAACTTAATACAGATTTACAATATTCCAAACTCTTAATGAGGGAGATTCTTCCGGCTGGTTTCTTAAAGTTGTCCGGGAATAATAAGGTCAGATTTGGCCCTCTGGGGGAACAGCTAAGACTGAGGAGAATCAACCTTGGAACCAGGTATAACTCCCACTAGGGAATATCCCTTCTTATTTAAAAAATTTCTCCCAAAAAAAAAATAAATAAATGCTCCCCCTTGCCTTCTGCTTGACTCCTAAAGTAGACTAACAAGAACCTTAGTGTTAGAGAGTTCTTTCTTACTCTTGATAAAAAGTAGGGAAAAACACAAGGTTTATGAACCTTGAAAGGTTTTATAAAAGTTACTTATGAAGTATGAAAGCAAAAAAACCTTAATGGTTTTGTAAATAATGTGATCTTCGTATGGTTTGACAATATTTTAAGTAAAATGGATTGATTAGATAGATAATTATAACCAAAAGCATGCTATAGATATATTTTAGAATATAAAAGAACGGAATGAGACAGAATATTTTTATAGATACTCTTAATAGATAATAGATAGTTTTAAAGATAGGTAATTATGTTTGTAAGGCCGGAAGGTAAAATTAAAAATACATATGTTTTTATATCATTACTATATTTAAATCCAGAATGTTTCTTAATGAAATGATGTGAGAAAAATCAAAGGAAAGTTGATAATATTTGGAAATCAACATGGCTGATGGTTTTTATATTTTTTTATTGATAATTGTATACACTTACCGGCTCAGAGTGGCTACAAACCAAACAGGACACTCAAACAAGAACCAAACCAAAACTTTCTGCTACTTTTTATTAAAAAAAAAACTTTAATATTCTAAAAAAAAACTTCTAAGCCATCCCTGCCCATCTACTTTTAAACCCAAGTTTCTTTATTCATCAGAAGTCAGAACAGAAGTGCCCGATAGCCACTCGTTTTGAATCAGCTAAGCTATGTTTGCCAAAATTGTCGCTTGGTGTCGCTGTTTAATACCAACTTAAAAATTAAAACTAGGAAATATTAAAAGGATATGAATTTAAAAATTGTATTTAGAGTAATAAAAGAATTATTAAAGCAACGGACTCGTTACAGAGTCTCTTCCACTCTTCTTATGTGGTTATTCCATTTTTTTTTCTATTTTGTATCCATTCATTTATACACGGTACGTTACATTTTCTTCCAATGTCTTCACTTCTCTTTCGATCTCTCAGCGTATTTGCTGTAATTATTCTCAGTACTTTCATCTCTGCTGTTTTCAGTACCTTTTGCGTTGTGGCTGTGTCGGGTCTTGTTTCTGAGGCATATGTCATTGTTAGTCTAACACTGACTTTATAATTTCTTGATTTCATCTTAATGGTAATATGTCTGCCTTGCCATATAGTGTTATTATAGCACCCTGTCATTCTATTTGCTTTTTGTACTTGATCTCTCACTTCTTTGTCCAGGTCTCCATAGCTAGACATTCCCAGGTGTAATTCCCAGGTATGTTATGTCCATTATTTGTTTAATACTTATGCCATCAATTTCTATTTTACATCTGGTTGGTTCTTTGCTGACTACTATTCTTTTAGTTTTCTGATATGAGATTGTCAAATTCTTTTGCTCTTATGTTAAATCCGTGGACCAGTCTTTCCAGACTATCTTCATCTTGGGCTATCAATATTCAGTCGTCTGCGTAACAGAGTATTTTGATTTCTTTGTTTCCAATTCTATATCTTCTTTCTTTATAAATGGTTTTGACGATTTCATCCACGATCAAATTGAAGAGCATGGGACTTAATGAATCCTCTTGTCTTATTCCGCTGCCTATTTCTACAGGTTCTGTAAGTTGTCCATCTATTCTGACTTTCATTTTGTTGTTTTGGTTGATGTTTTCTATAATATTGTTGGATAATATTGTTCCCATGACGGGCATCTACAATGATGTTTTCAATTAGGTTGCGCGTCATATGGTCGTTTGAAACCCAGGTTTTCTTATGGATGTCTTTATGCGGAAACATGGTTGACTTTATTAGCATATTATTAGCTGCTGCAGGTTCTGTGAGTCTTAAGCCATTGTCGTTGGATATATTGTGTAGGCTGTGTTTACTTATTGTGGGGTATAGGCAAGGTTCTTTGCCTATTTTAGCATTAAAGTCCCCGCAGAGTATGAGCATATGTTGTTTGGGCATCGTATCTATCTCTCTTTCTAGGACATCGTAGAAGTCATCCTTGATATCTTCATCCTTCTCTTCCGTCGGTGCATGCGCTGAGATAATCGAAATGTTGTATCGTTTTCCCTTCATTCGTATGTAGCATATGTTTCATTTATAGGTTTAAAATTTAGTATATTCTGTACTAGGTTGTCTCTAATCACAAAGCCAATTCACATGAAAAAGAAGTCTAAAACACAAACTTCATCAAGTGAGAGTTCTGGCAGTTATACTTCGGAATCAGAAGACAGCGGCGAAGAAGTTGAATTGGCAATAAATCAGTTTCATAAAAAAAAGGAAACTTTCCTTATGAATTCCGAAAAAAATGATTTGGAGGTTTATAACAAAGAGAATAACAATCTTCGAGAAGAAAAAAGTAATACTGAAGAAATAAAAACTTGCCAGGGCAAAACTTTGGACACATCGTTTACGGAAATGCTTGAGACTCCGGCAAAAATTGAGAAAAAAAATACACAAAATAGAAAGAAGGCAATAAATAGCAGAGCTATAGTGGTAAAAAAAATGTATTTTCTACCACTAGCACAGGTCCACGAACAGATATAAATAAAGGCACAAAACAAACTCTACCAGGGTGTTTGGTAAAGAAAAACAAAAAATCAGAAGACGTAGCAAAATGGTTTTGCAAAATTTGCGACAAAGCTGAAATAAAAGACATGCGACTATGCTTTATATGTGTACAGTACGTTCATGAAGAATGTGTAGGGCTGACAAAATTCGATAAGGAATCCTTTACCTGTCCTGATTGTACCCCACAATAATGTTCCTTAATTTTAAGTTATTTCAGTTAAAAATTCTTTATTTTGACATTTTAGTTTTTACAAAAAGGATTGTTTATCTAATATCTTTGTTTGGTTAAATGTTTTTTATAGTGTCAATAAATATAAGATTTTGTAAGTATATGATGTTTTTTAATATTTATTTCCACATCATTTAGTGTTTTAGGTAAGCGCATATTACCTTAACTCGACTGGGCATATTACCTTCAGGGGTTGGCAATATGCCCAGATTGAGTGGTTTAAAAAAAAGAAAAATTCGATATGAAAAAAAAAAATAATTGACAAACAATAAAAAAACTAGCGATGTTTAAACACCTAAACATTGGTATAGTGTTAAAAAATATACGAAAAATATATTTTTGTAGCAATAAATTCAAAATTCCCTTAACATGGGCATATTGTATTCAGTTACCTTAAGATACATATGCATCAAACTTCTAATTTTTACTAATAACTTTTTAAAATTAGAATGTTTATTTTGTTTGGTAAATAATTTGAGAATTTTAGTTTAGTTGGACAATTTTTTATACAAGAAAAATAAATTTTACTACTATGGACAATACGGACAAAATATGGACAACCTTAAAAAAAAGGATACAAGGCGAATTATTAAACATTTATATAAAGATTTCATTGAACTGTTTATTTCTTAGTGAAAGCAAAAAATATGGACGTTCATAGAACGTCACTTCTTAACAAAAACAAAAAAGTACCTCGATTCAGACGCCATCGGAGTGTAAATAAATAAGTCAATAGAGGCGCTGATAATGAATTCTGTATGCAGTTCATATACAAAGTGTTGGTAGTTGTTGTAAAATAAAGATTAGGTCGAATGCCAGAGCGGTCGACTGATGAATTTTATTTGTAAGATCGAGACCTGCATGAAGTAATTATTTTTGCTAATATTTTTTAAATTATTCTTAATTTCATTTGTAAATGAATATAAATTTTTTCGTATATTTATAAAATATATATTTATAAAATAAAATAGGTTTATTAAAACTCATTCATTAAATCTGCTTCAGCTAAAACTCGCTTACATAAAACTCTAACCACTTTTAATTAATTAGTAGTACGATATTGTAATAAAATTAAATTATTGTCGGAATATTGCACATAAACAAACTGAATAATGAAACTTAGAAATATCTGATATAATCGTAGCAATACATATTATTAAAATTTATTTTTTTAACTGTTGCACAATAAAAAAAATGAGTGTCGACTGTTAACAGCTGAAAATAGCTGAAAATTTGGCCCAATTTTTTGCGTGCTTGACCATATTGTCTATCTGATTATTGAAGTTAAGTTATATATCAAATGACTTTGCTTTAATGAGATTAATGCATGATTATTACAGCAACTAATGTCAGAAACAAGTCAATTTTTGGCGCAATTTTTTTTCATGCGTGACAATATTGTGCATAGTGAATTTCATGCAAGAGAAATAGTTTTAATAAAATGTACTTACTTATTGTAATAAATTCGTAAAAATAAAATGTTTCTATTTATTTACGTATGCTACTATATTACATAAATTATACATAATAAAAAGGAAAAAAATACACTAATAGGTTTTCTATCTCAGATTCATAAAACAAATTTTACCACTCTACCAAACCTTGTTTTCACATCGAGTGCCAGAAGTTTGTATGAATTTCGTAAATTTGATTATTAGTGCCTCTATCGGCCAAGATGCAAACCTATTTTATTTACATTCGAAAGGAACGGCATCGTAACCATAATAAGTAACGTTCTATGAGCGTCAATATACGTTGGTGAAAGTTTATCGATTTTTAATTTTTTTTTATTTAGCTATTAAATGCAGTTGGTGAAGTTCGTCAAGCAGTTCAAATTAATCCAGATCTTCCACCTTTGCCAGATATTAATTCATTAAACTTAGGTAAGTGCAACACATAAATTTTCAATAATACTTAAATGTACTTTTCTGTCAATATACTATGTATGTACATGGCAAAACATAAAATATTAACAGTATATTACGAAATATTTAGTCAGAAATCATTATCTTGAGTTCCATTATTTATTTGAAAAAATTAAAATTTACGTTTAACCCTCACCCGAAACATTGATATAATAGGTCAAAGCCCCCGAATATCTGCTGATCGCGGCAACAATGGAAGCCTTATGCACACGTCCGTTTAAATACCCTCTGACCAGTCTATAATAAGCTTAGCCACAGTATATTGCTTAAAAAGAATTTTTAAGAAATATACTGTATGCTTAGTTCTACAGTATCGTCGTGACTCTTATAGTGTTTGCATCGTAGTAACGGGCATTTTGTAAGTGCAGGTCCAATAAGCCAGATATTTCGGATTACGGTGTTCTTTTTGATAGGTGATTGCGGTGTTTTTACTTGTTACGGATTGTGTATTGGTGAACAAGTTGTTGTATTGTAGTGAGCACGAATAGGGCAGGACCCAGCGACAATAGTCGTACTAAACCAGTAAATTTGGCGGACCCATATTATGCTAACAAATTGCAAGCCTTGCTTCATTCTGACGATCAAGATTTATATTTATCAGACCGAGAGACGAATGAGGAAACTGCAGATGTTATAGATGACTCAGACGAAGATCCCGACTATGTAATTCAGCAGAGTGAATCTTCTAGCGGTGAAGAATCCAATTCAGATCCTGAGCTTTTGAAGTTAGATGAATCATGTGAACGTATCGAAAGAAAAAAAGTATCTTTCAGTGACGGGGGACGAATCTCCGAGAAACACAAGGACCTAAATACATAATATTGTCAGAGGATTACCTGTCCTGACAGCGTTAAACAGGAAAATAAACCTTCTAAGTTAGATATTTGGAATTTGTTGATTGATAATGAGATGATAGAAAAGAAATTGTAATTTGGACAAACCATAAAATTATAACGAAAGAAAAATTGTCTACTTCGACCAATACTTCCAATTACAGAAGCACAAATGTAATTGAAATAAAGGCTTTGCTTGAAATGTTAAGGTTATTTTCAATTATAAAATATTCTCATGAGGATATGCTTCAACTATTTTCTAAAGATGTTTTGGGTCGTCCAATATTTAAAATGACGAAATCTTTAAAAGAGTTCTGAAAACGACTACATTCGTAACTCACTGCTCCAGGGTAGCACTTTGAGCTGGTGTATGTTTAGAATACTTGTCACACTCATCTCAAACACAATCCAGGGAACTGAGATCTGGACTGATTGCTAACCATCTAACCACGAATTGTCATCCCATTTAGATATTTCATATCAACAAATTATATCAACAAATCTCATTGAGTGAAATAGGGAAACAATCAAAAAACAGTCATCACTTGGAGTCATGAATCTTTTTGGTCGGGATCCAGGTTCTCGTTTTATTGGGCAGTCTTCCCAAAGCGTAGCGTACCCATTAAATTTTGTGTCGATTATCGTTTAAAAACATTGCTTTTCTTCAATTCCTATGGCTTCTCGGATAATTTTGGTTTATAGAAGCGGATGAAGGCTATTGTTCTAGAGTTTTCAAAATCAATTTTGTGACCTGTATGAAGATGGTGTTGACCTAGAGCTGACATTAAATCGGAGTTACGTACAGCAATGAAATGTTCATCAATCCTATTTTGGATTCTACGATTTGTTTAGCCTATATAGGGTGGGCGGCAATTTGTACAAGGAATTTCATTAACTCCGTGTTGTTCATTTGGAATATTGTCTTTGATTGATCGGACAAGAGATGAAAGTTGTTGTTGGGGGGTAAATATTGTCTTTGTTCCTCTTAATTTAAGAATTTTGTCGATTTTTTTCAGTGATACCTTTGATGTAAGGAAAAAAGCTTTCGTATGATGAAGGTCTGCCTTTGGGTTGAGATTGAGTTGGAGAATGATGCTGATGGCTGTATACTCCTATTGATGTGATTTTCACGGTAACCGTTTTGGATGAGGGCTTGTTTTAAACTAGAGAGTTCAGCGGATCTACTTGCATCATCGCAAAGACGTATTGATCTGGATTGCAAGTAACGATTGGTATGGGTGGGTTTTCGAGAAAAAGTTAATCGACGCGGTTCGACCCGGATGACTGTGGGGTTTAATATTAATTCTTTCTTATAATAGTTTAGCTCTAGGATCAATTCTATACCCAGGAAATCTTTCGGAACACACACACACACACACACACACACACATATATATATATATATATATATATATATATATATATATATATATATATATATATATATATATATATATATCATAAATCTATGATTTGCCATAATTCTATACATATAATTGTAATTGTATACATATTCAAAACCAATTAAAAATATATTTCATGTTTGCTTTGCCGAAAGAACGTCAATATAAAAAACACTTTTTTCTTTTTATAAAATACAAGTATTGTACATATGCTTCATAATTCGCAAATCTGCATTGAACAATATTAATAGTTTTTAACAAAATTATTTTATTTCAGAAACTACTCCAAACCGTTACTTTATTGACAAAGGTATATATTGGGCGCTTTCTAATATTTTATTTCAGTAAAAGCATTGTATTTGTCAGTGGTGTGTTTTTAATTACTTTAAAGAAAAACCAATACGCTATTTTTAATACGTATAATTAGTATCTTATAATAATTATAAAAGTATTAATAGACTTGAATTTTTTTAAATATTTTTAACTCTAGGTATATACCTAATCTGATGTTTAGTACGTCTTTCGATTTTCACAAATATTCTGTTTTACTGTTTAAACATCCATATCTGATAAATCTAAAGTGAATAACTATTTTTGTGTCTTTATTCTATTATTGTTCTGAAGCTATTTTCTTGTGGCATTTTAAAGTAATTACTATTTAAACGGGAATAAGCCACAATTAAAGGTTAACGTAAGTTTTTTGACGTTTCAATTTCCACTCTGGAAATCGTTCCCAAAATACAGACAACATTAGTTTGTATGTTATAACATATATATATATATATATATATATATATATATATATATATATATATATATATATATATTGAGACCCCGAACCGTATCCCTCTTGATAATGGCTCCCAAATGGGAGCCGAAACGTCGAGCATTACATTCTCAACGCGGTTCTTTCCGAGAACCTAGTGATTTTCATTCATCTGACCGCGGAAATCTATCCGAACATTTTATTCGCCTCTACGGGGAGGAATTTTTCATTCTCACTAAATTCTTTTCTAATATTCTAACACGCAAATACCGTCTTCTCTGTGATCTTGCTTTTCTTAAATCATGTTGTAACAAAAGTGCTTTGTGCTGTGGCACGCCAATGTAACAAAACGTGTAGGATAATGGAAATGATAACATATAATTTAAGCTGGCTAGCAGAAGGTGCCGGAGAGTGACTACTTGACACTCAAAGGAGAATTCGGCCAATTTGCATGCCCTACAGAGACCGTAGAATTAGAAGATGAATGACGAGTTAGAAAAAAAAACTATAGGTATACAAATAAGATAAATAAAAATGATTATAGAAGTTGCTCCAAAATGTGAGTGGGCGCCAGGAAAGTATTTACATAAACTTTCCAAGGTATCTTGTAAAGCTGTTTGCTAAAATAAAGAAAGGATATAGGTATGAATTGAAATATTTAGTTTTCACCAAAACTTTAATCCCTAGCCAAATATATACAATCTAAATTTAATATACCCACCACCAATTATGTACAGCTAATCTAGTTATATACAAAAAATAAATGCCCTGGTTATACAACTGATCCTGGATGATCTAAATTTACAAATAATAAAATATGGAAAAAAAATGGTAATAACTGACCTAAAAAGGTAATTTATTTGCCTCAGAGATGCAACTCTGTATTCTGGCTTTATTGAATATAAGAGTACCAAGTAATAAGGACACTATCTTGATGAGATAAGTGTCCAAACGTTTAAATATATATTGATAATAAAATCTAAAAAATATAACTCTCTAATTAAATGTGTACACAAGAAACCATACAAGTGAGTTAGAAGGGAGGACTTAAAAACCTCTACCTGTAGTTGACAATTTGTATTTAAATATTATTCAATAAATTATTAAAAAAATGACGACTCTTATTATTATATGAAATACTAGAAGTTAAATATACAAAAAATTTATACAAAAAATATCATAGGTAAAAAAATTAATCTAAGAAATAAACTTAATCCAGATTTACTATATTTTAAGGGAGATAATTCCCGCTGGCTTCCTAAGATTTTCGTAATCGGAAGGTCAGATCTGGACCTCTGGAGAGCAGCTACGGCAAGGAAAAAAAACAGGCCTGGAACCAGGTATAACCGGACTAGGTTTCAAGTTAATCGATACTTCTTATTCAAATTTAAAAAAAAACAAAAGCAAATTCTTCCCCCGACTTCTGTTGGAATCCCAAAGGTAGGCTAAAAAAAACATTTCTTTTAGAGTTTTTTCTTATACTTTACAGAGGAGGAAAAAAAACAAGGTTTATGAACCTTGAAAGGTTTTATAAATGTTACTTATGAATTGTGAGAGCAAAAAAACTTAATGGATTTATAGATAATTTGACCGTCGTATGGTTTGACAATTTAAATGGATTAATTATATCGACAATTTTAATGAAAATAAGACAGAATATTTTAACGATACTCTTAATAGCAATTTTACCGATAGATAATTATGTTTTACGGCCGGGAAATAAAATTAAAATACATATGATTTTAAATCAATTAACACTATCTATTTAGATGTTGAATATTTCTTAATGACGGATGGAAAAAGTTCAGATAAGTATATCGAATTGAAACGTGACAATACAGGATCTCAAAATGGCTGATGACTTTTTTTTATTGTCGTTTTATTTATAACTTGGATACTTACGGCTCACAGTGGCTATAAACCAAATAGGACACTTCAAACAAAAAACCCCAAACTAAAACTTCTTATTACTTCTTCATAAAAAAAACTTAAATTCCAAAAACCACGCCACGTGGCCCCTACCTTGGACTTAAGTTTCTGCTACCAAAGTTCATACAGAAGTGCGATTCGGATACTCAATTTGAGCCAGCTAAACTATGATTTCAAACTTGGACGCTTGGTGTCGCTGTTTCATACCAACTTAAATTTTTAAGATTCAGAAAATCATTAAGAGGATTGAGATTTTAAATTTATTTAAAAAATGTTTCCGGAATGTTATAGTAACGTTCTCGTTACATTCCCCTCTTACTTGGAGAAAAAAAAATTTTAATGAAAAATTTTTTTTTTTCATATCTAACCACAATCATAGTGTAGGTATGAACCGTCAGTCATAGCAATAGCTCAAACAGGCGTTTAACCGTTGGTTAGCCAAAGTTTCCATCATTGTAGTGAAAGCAAATGATACAAACCAATCTAAAATTTAAATTTTTAGCCATGGCCCTAGTTTGCCAAATGTAGCTAAAATACACTAACTTAAACTAACTTCATAACAATCTACATCGATTCGCAAGATTACAAGTAACCACAGATTATGAATAATGTAGAAAGAAAGAGAAATCTAAAGATATCCAAATATTACTAAGTGACTTACAAGTCACATCCTATCTATAGTACATAAACTACATTAACGCTTAGCGCCAATGTAACAAAAATGCTTTCATGTAGCCTAAAATAGTCATAAAGACAAATAATCATATATCTCAAAGTAATGTGAAATCGGACACTGACTCCAAAATTGACTATTCGGTGGACAACAGATTTATAGTAGAATATCCAAAGATAATCAATCAGGCAAGGGTGTGGACCGATTCACAAATC